TCGAGTGCCGCTCAATGCAGTGACGTCAGCTGGACCCCCGTGGAGACCGTCCAAGTGCACAACTAACTCCATGGGTCTCCTTTAATCTGCACCTAGGAGGTGGCCATTGTCGTGATTGTGCATTTACCTTAATCCTTCTCTGTTAATTGACATCCGCTACAGGTAACTGGAAAAGACGAGTCTGGTCCACGGATTACCTGCATTAGCATAGTTGAAAGTCGCATCATTTGATTCGGATCTCTGCTTATCCGAAGTAAGAAGTTTCAATGTTTGCTCGACATTATTCTACCTTTGAAGGTAATTGGTTCAAAAACGACCGCAATGTAAAACATATAAGTAACGAGACGCAAACAGATCATCAAGATCATTGGACCCAGCAATGAAGGAAAGAACACTCAAAGAGGGTGGATAATGTTCTGAAAAGTAATATACAAGCTTCGAAAGAAGAGCGCGCAATTAACCAAATTCACAGAGAAGCAATTATTTAGAAACCAAGCAACTGTGATTAATGGACTCATTAATACCAACTCACTGATAAAACCGAATTATGGTGGTAGAACCAAATAAAGTATCCAGAATAAACGACCAACATGCTAAATATCAGAGGTTGAACACAAAGCTTGAACCGGGAAATCCAAAAAAACATAAAATCACAGGATGGTTCACATATAAAATCGTGTAACCATAGAGGAAAGTGGGACTAAATACCGCACGACCTTCTAAGTCGAGCTAGATATTCACAGGGTGGTATAAAATTGGCGCCATTCCTTTGGGACTTTTTTTAGTTCCTTTGCCTCAAGACAGTACCTGGCACTAGAGCAATGCATGCAATTTTTAACAGATTCAACTATTGAATTAACTAAATGCGATCCTATATATCCCAGCAATATACTGAACACTTTCGAGACTATATAAGCTATATAGTGCCAATAAAACGGCCACTTAAGTTTACTGCAGGCGCATTCCTTCATTTTTGAGAATTTATGAAACTCGTAAACGTCTAACAGACAATGAAGAGATCATGTACATTCGCCCTTTCGATGTGTGTGTTCACTAGACACTCGGCTAAGGACATTTTTCAATATCTATGTTAAGAAGTTATAAACACTCTAAAATTGACTTCTGCATGCTGGTAAACTGTAACTTTGGCTGATATTGAACAAGCAAGGACATTTAAATAATAGGTAACAGATGGTTTTCTAGGAAATGCTTAGTAGCGTTGCAAGCTAAAATCGAAAGATACAGCAACCGACGAACCTTCTTAACATAACTTGCCTACCCCTCGATGAATAGAAAGGGCCTTGAGACTGTGAGAAGGTACAAAACATGTGCTTTTAGGTAACCTGAGATTTCTATAGTCAGGGTTAGTTTCGACAGTAACAGTGAAACGACTTTTATTTTATGCCGATATGCGACATTGGTGTCTTAAAACCAATTAATCACACTTCAAATGATAACAACTATTTCAACTAGCGAGCTCAATTAAATAATAGAGCCTGAAAACTTTTACAGTTGGGTATTATCATTTCGTATAAACAACTCTTAAAATCTGCAAATAAATGCGCAAAATAGATGCGATCATTCATGGATCCGTAATAATGCATACAGTTAGCATTGAATTGTATACGCCGGAATTTCAAATGTTGTAAAGCTGCCAAATCTATTCTTGTGAAATTGAGCGGCAGACGAAACTATTGTCCCGGACGAATTCGACATCCATTAAAATAAATTATTTGCATTTTTCATTTCTGATGCATTTCGACATAAAATGTTCAGACAATACTGAGCACGACTGCAGTTTTTCAATAAAAATCGAATAGAGCATTTTGAACCAATTTAAGAAGACATTTCAGTCAACAGGAGATGACCCCGAATTAGTCTATTCAACGGAAGCAACCAAACACTTTGCCTGATCCCTCAATCGGGTTGTTCGATGTACGACGAAATTACCATTTTTGAGTAGGTTTAGTCCTTGTCGAGGAAATGTCGAATAAGAATCGAGAGATACACGAGAGAGGGAGAGAAAACGGGATTGTGAGGAAGCTCACGAAAACGTAAAAGTAACATCAAAAGGTGCTTGGTTTCCGTAAACCGCCGGGAAAACTGTTATTTAATGGTTATGTGGCCATCTTAAACCCTGACAGAAGGGGTGGCAAAGTGATTTCGAATAATGGCGCCATTATTATTTATCATGCCGAATATAGATTTGTTTAGTGAATGGAAGTAGTATGACAACTTGCAGTGTGCACCGAAATTAGTGTTTTAGGTACAGCGAGTGCAAATTTTCAACTGAGAATAGTTTTATGAGTAGAACTGTTATGCAGTTTGTTGCATTATGTCTAATTGGCTTTTGTTTAGGAATCAAGCGTTGTTTTTTAGTGCAAATGATGAAGCTGCGGTTTCCAACTTGACGTCATAAATAAAGATTTTACATTCTTTACAGTTGTGTTGTTTTCGCGTGATAATCCTGACAGTGAGACTCAAACAAAATTGCTCTTTAGACTTTGAAGGCGCGCCGCTTCTATTTCTGGTTCGCTTTGTTGAAAAGTTGTTTTTCCCCTTTTCTTGGGAAGCTAATTTGTACGTTATCATTTTACAAATTTAAAAAACTACACATGATCATGATCCTACGAACGTAGTAAGAACTGACGCGCTACGTTTTAGATGAGGTTCAAATTGGTACTTCCTATGCTTGTCAAAACTCATCCACTGCGCTGCTTAAAGATTTTAAAAAAATTCAAAGCTCAAGCAAAAATTTCAATGTGTGGATGAATCGATGTACAGAGAGGTCAGATTAAAGTCGCCTTTCCTTGTCGCGTTGGCCAGTCACCGATCCACTTCTTGACTTTGTAAATAACAAGGGGGTTCTTTGGTGTTTGCTCGCGCGAATCAAGGGGTTATAAATTTGAATACGTTCCACGATCTAAATGAATTACAATAGACGAATAAATAAACATAGGCAAATTTACACGTTCAGCTGTTAAGAGATCAGCGAGGGAGAGTTTCCGGTTACAGAGCAGGGGGTTTTAAAATAGTTTTTCGGTTCGGTTTTGGGTTGCTCACTGGCGGATGGGAAACGCACACGGGCCCCAACCTTTGTCTGCAAACGGCGTCATGGGGTTTTTAATCTTCTTGAGACCCCTGTAGTTAAACCGAGCATTTCCTTTCTATTGCCGGCTTTTGGAATGTAAAAATAACTTTTTCCGAGTTATTGGAGACAACAAGATGCACCATTTTCAGTCCTCGACCAAGCCAAAAGCTCACTTTGCGGCTTCAATTTTACTAATACACGAGCAGTCATTACCTTGGTCGTTAATAGCGCTTTATATGTCCCCTTTGATATTACACATAGCAAAGTCTAAAGTAAATTAGAAGCGATATTATGTAATAAAATGTATTGAAGTGGCTTGCATCGGTTATCGGGCCCAGGATCGAAATTAACATTAATATCTACACGAACGATCCACTAATATTACAAAACATTTTTTGAGCATTAAATGTATCGAAAAACACTTTTTGTGTTAGAGCTGAAGTAACTCCGCAGATTCATAAATAAGAATTTAAACTGACTCAACACAAGCTATTCCATTACACCTTTTGCGACATGTGAAGGAGCCACGAAAACAGTGATATTCTGCAAACTAGTACAGAACAATTTCGTATCGAACCGAATTGTCCCAAATAACTAGATGACTTAAATTAGAGTTTTTGGAAAAGTAACGATTCGTTACTCGATTGGACCTTATTAACAGCGATATCCCGTTTTGAATTCCATTGCTGAATACACGGCTGTTCTGGTTAAAAGCTTAACGACAATCAAGACCTGTAGTTTGTACCATTAGATAACCCAACTGTATCGGCACCAAAAAGTTATCATTAAAATGAGCATCTTAAGTAATAGCTTGTAAACGCGTTTTCGGTCAAGAATAATTTTACGGTTGTAAATATTTACAAAATTGTTCAAGTAAATTTTCTTCGTGTTTCACTTTTTTTTGTCTACGAAAGTTTGGTTCGCCACATCCTGACAACAGTGGATCAAATGTGGAGAAGCACTCTAATGGTTGACTGCGTATTTAAACCTTTGTGAAACTTTCTTATGGGATCAAAGAAACCTCAAATGACGAGCGTGCATACAGCAGTCGCATTCAAAAAGCAATCACTGCAATCAGTCTAGAAAAGGTTTAATCTAAATGGGTTTTAACGCAAAGTAATTAGAATATTTAGCTTCAAATATGGGGTATTAATAAATCCATGGTAAATGCCAACATTTAACAGACATTTATTTTTTCGGATACGTTTCATAGAGAATTTTATGTAAAAAGTTCAGATGGAAAATGTATGCAATGTTAATGGAAAAATGAATATTGGCGTGACATGCATATTGAAACATTTATTATATCAATTGAAAAATCGTGTTTAAAAAAAATGCGACAAAAATTTTTGTTTTGTTGCATTCAAAATGTTTTAATTTTTTGATAATCCAGTGACCCTTATGATGTTTTAATCTTGACAATTATTGTAAACCTATCAGGATCGTCAACGTATAGGGTCTACGTAAATAAATATTGCTCTGCACAGACCTACAGTCAACATAAGCAATTCAATGCGTGTACGCTCTTATCGTATTTCGAGTATAATATAAATTTTGTAGATGTTTTACATGTGTTTCTATGTTTATCACCCAAGATAAGCATAATCAGAATGATAAGCTAGCGTTGGAATACTAAATGTAAATAAAACATAATAAAATATTATACGGGCTGCTATATGATTATTATAATAACAGAGTGTTTAATTCAGGGGCTCATTCGCTTTATAAATAACCCAGAGACTTCCTTATGTTAGGTCAACAATTATGTGTATCTCGCAGGCGCTAGCAGCTTCGGGCTTTCTTATTTTCAAGGAACAAATAGTGGCGAATGTCGCTTCAGTTTTATTTTTCTCATAGTCTTCAGAAACAGGCACGGTGGTACCCAATACTAAAAATGGCTGGTACTTACTTGTTTGGAGAAAACAGCTATATCCTCGTTAAAGGACTCTGAAGAGCAAACGTCTCCACCCGCTACTCCAGGTTCTCTAGGTGTACATGTTGCTAGTTCGCATTTCTCAAAGATAAGGGCCAATAGTGGAAAGAGCGGATGACTGAAAAACCAAAAACATATTCATTATTTCAAACATTAAATAAATAAATTCATTCACTAGCAAATATGTCATTTTTGATCCAATCAATTTGCTATACAGACGTATTTTGCAATTATCCGTTCTTAAAAAATATATCTGGCATATGGCTCCGCCTAGCCATATGATAATTAAAACGCTTTAAAAATAAAGCTGATGTAATTTTTAATACGCCTTTATTCATTATAATAAGAAATAAAACAGCCGGTTCATTTAAGCGTACATCCATCCATTACCATTGGAAAATTGGTGGTTATTCGTTTCGTTTGTTGGATGCTGAAGTGTGACTTTAATCTGGAATGCTTCGCAAACAAAGTCAATCATTATAATTATGTATTTGCGTTTACTGAAATGTAATTTTAGTGTATTAGTTTTCTACGACTTGAGGACAAGTTTCCCTGAGCCGAGGTTCAATTAGAATTAAATGCGTACAAAATGCATTTTTTAGCCTTCAGATTAAAAAAGCAAACAGAAAATTTTAAGAGATTAAAAATAAAGGCTTCCAGGAAACCAAGCCGTCCAATCCAAACATTTCAGAAATATAGACAATCAAAGAGCACTCAATTTTCAATTTTTTTCTATCTCATTTTCTAATACAACGTCAATTTTCTGATAAGTATAAAAGATCTTTGACAAGTATGAAAGATAAGATAAAGTATAAAAGAAATACTTTCCAAAAAAACAATAAAATGCCATATAAATGATAAAACCAGACCAATCAGATTGCACAAAAAAATGAAACATTCTCACCACAAGCTTTTTAAGACCAAATATTAAAATTAGCAATTCAACTTCTTTTGCGTATTTACATTTGTGAAAATTCTTACAACCCATAGCAAAAGAATCGAGTTATGCTCCCACATGTCAAACATTAAACTGATTATCACATTAGGTTGTTGTTAAACCGACGAACATTTATCAGCAATGTGGGCAAGTCGTTCAGTGGCAGCTGCTTAGGCCCTTCATTGTTGGAAGACACTTAAAATGTCTTTAAAAAGCAAATGCTCCTAAGAGGAGGCCACAGTAAACGGCGAGTGTCTCAAAAGCAATTATTTAACACCTTTTGGCTAAACCGTTGACCGTAATTTGTGTAAATATTTGATTAAGTCATTGTTTTCTGTTGGTTTCAGGGCACATCGGATGTAGATTAGACATTCTCAACAGGCTAGTAATTTCGAAACGTGCAATTTTACAGGATGTCGGTGACAACTGATTTTTGTGAAAAATTATGTTTTAATGCTGCAATTATTAAGAAGTTATATTTAATTAATATTAATTATCAACAAATTCATTTATTTGTGGTTTGGATACAGCAGGTAAACCAAAAATGTCATCCTGCATTGAAACCGAGAACTGATTTAAAATATCTTGAAAAATCCATAATGCGATTCTGCCGAATTCGGAAAATTTTAAATAAGATTATTTGTTATTATTTCAAAGAAATCAGAAAATTCGTGTTTAAAAATATTACGTTAATATCTGCTTTTTATGCTAATTTATTCTAAACTAGTGTTAAGTATTTAGGTGACTTTTAACAAATATTTCATTACTTATATCTAGATAAATTACCTAAAAACTCCAAAAAAATATTGTACTTTGGGGATATCAAATGATCGTTGAACTGCAACTTTTCTCTCAACAAAACTGGTTATTTTATTGTGGACGACTAGCAGGTGTGCACCTATACTAGTCTTCCAAGACAACTACTTGAAAAACATAGTTACTTGTTCCTACTTAGTGGAGGTAAGGATTAATTCCCAGTAACGTTTCAACCTACATCCCTCGATAAAGTAACCGAAGAAATCTGGCAACTTCAAGTAATATTTATTTAACATTTCACAACTGGTGTCAATTTGGCTGCGGACGGTGGCTTTGTATGTTTAATTTAGGGGTATTATAAATCTAATTGTTATATTTGGGTATTTGTAACGAAACATTCTCTCAACACAAACATCTTTAAACAGCATTCCCTTTCAGATCAAAAACAAACAGGAGCATTATTTTCTAAAAGTTCCTAAGATTTCTAACACTCTACAAAACCTCACAAACTCCACATGTTATGCAAGAAAAATGCGTTGGTCGTTTTTTCCCTGTCGCTGACACTAAATCGGTTTCTTGCATTTGGTGGATTAACAACAGGCACAACTGCATTAACTATGTAATTTTTAAAATTATTTCTGATCGATTATCAGAGAAAAATAAATTGGAAAAGTACATGTTTTTTTCTATACCTATTAGCTCTGAAAAGAGGGTTAAATGACCGCAGGTTTAATTTTTGTTGACATTCTCTCAATGGTATAACTTGAAGGTTCATTTCAGCTAAACTCAACAAGAAATATAATACAATCATTAGCCACTCTGATCAGCTGAACACTTGAAACTGAATCATTAATTTATATTGTTGTTTCTGGAAGCACAAGTCTTAAATCTTAAATAAATTGGGAAACCCAATTAGTCACCAGCGAACGTTAATTACCAAACACAGATCGGGTTCAACTTAAGCAATATTGTTAAAATCAATGCGTTTCGAATTATTGAAAATGGCCTTTGACCGAGTTGGTCATTTTTGTGAGATAGCGAAACATCTGCAGCAAATTGGCGGTTCAAGACAAAGCACAAACAAAAGGTTTAAATGCAAAAGTGCCATGCAAACAAGCCAGCAAGTGTGGCCAGAGTTATCGCCATCCTTTGACCCGTAACTTATTCGAGGATCGAACGTCATAAATAACGAGCTAACATTTATGAATGCAGATAGCTGGATGATAGACACCATTCATACGATCCCATTATTTATTTCCGACTGCTGATAATCTAGCATTTTTTCAACTTGTCAATTCGTTTCAACTGAAATGCATTTCACCGCATCTTAGCATATTATCTTCTTCCTGATATTTGTAACTAGTTCGGCCATATTTAATAAAAATTATAATGTTTTAAAGACCTTACTACTAACCACATTCAAGCTCAAAATCAGTTATTTCCCACCACGTTATTAAATGGAAACGTAAACGTAAACTAAATTTATTAATGTAATTTTTACGATATCGTCAAAAACGAACCATCAGATGGTGGTTGGAAGACAGAAAATATACGAAAATGTTAAGCTATTTCCATTATCCACCACCACTGGGCTGTTAACTGAAGACAACCATAAAGATATTATGTGTTTACTGCCATACATTCCATCAGTTTTTCAGGAAGATTTTAAGAATCTTAAAAACTCGAAATGATAAAAATGGAATACTTTTTTAAATAGTTAATCAATGTTGATGAATTATTTCAAATAAAACTCATAGTTCTTTATTGCTTTAAGCCATTTATAGGACATTCTGTTAATTTTGAAAATGGTCTAAGGCAATTCCTACTTTAAAAACAATATTTTCGTATACAATTCATATCAAATTCCATATTGATTATAAATTTCGATTAATCAAGACCATTAAAATTCTAAATAAATGGCTCGCTTAATGTCAAAATATTTTTTACTTTATTTAAATGTAATTCATTAAATATCTCAAAACAAGAAATATCTGACTTAGACCACTTTCATTATTATGGGCACAATTGAGCAGTTAATGAAACAGAAATATTTTATTGAAACTAACAAAGTTTTCAAAACAAAGCAGAAAATTCGCAAACGCATCTTCGTTCTCAATAAATTGTAGGGTAACATAAAACCGGCCGCATATAATTTTTGAATCCTTTATGAATGAAACAGGTCAAGTTCTAGATATCCGAAAATGTAACTAAAAAAGAAATTAGCGACCAAATTGATTACTTAATTAAAATGTAAAAAGTGCAAATCGCTGGTGACTTTTCAACATTACCGTAATGTATGTAACTGACAATAACAAATAATTAATATTATATTAGCAATAAAATAAATGTACAGTAATGATAGTGGAACATCAAAGCAAAATGATGCTCGATTGAATGGAAATATTTATAAAACGTCAAAATATCCATATCATGATCATTTTTATGTTTAATTCATTCAGCATCGTAAAAAAGCTATAAACTCGGTGGTAGTGTAGATGTAGTAGTGAACGGCAACAATTTGTAATAGATCTACATATTTAATATTGAATATACGATCCGACAAACTGTAAATTTGAATAACGTCGAACTTTACTGGACGATAAAAGCGGATGTTATGAATATTAAGTATTCACATTAAAATATAACTGTGCCCAACTATACGCAATTATTAAAAATTTCGGTGCTGTTCTTCGAAACGGTTTTTCTTTTGAAAACTGCCGCCTTAAAATTGCACTAGCTTAATTCATATCGGGGCAATCGATTAGAACAAGTACTTTTAACTACTATAACCAACTGAAATGCGGGTACAATTGCTATTCAATAAGAACACAATGTGTTGTAATGTAAATTAATTGCCTACAGATCTTCATGCACTTTTTAGATACGTAATAGTTCCTGCATTTGTTTTTTTTTGTATATTTAACGTCAATTTATTAATAGCAGCCAGCATATCATGCAAGCGAGCTAAGCGTTGCGTTGTAACATACATATCACTTATAAAAATTACTTTGAACAACTTGAATAAACAATTTCAAATGCAGATCTTATCATAGTGAGTATTTAAGCAATGAAAAGATGCACATATGAATGTCACCAACGCATCTATCAAGACTCTAGGTCTAAGGAAAGTGGGAGTTAATATGAGAATGGAATATACGCAAACACTACAAATTGATCAACTCCAATGGTACACAGAAATACCCAAAGAGGAAAACAGAAATGAGATTGAAGAAGAAGGCGAAGAAGATGAAGAACCTCCCGAAATAACCGAAAGAATGACGATGGAACAGGCAAAGAAGATGAAAAAGAAAAAAGCACCAGGACTGGAGAGACACCAAACGAGTTGTTGCAATACGGGGGCACTATACTAATTACGAAAAATGTCCCAAATGATTCGAAAGAGTATAACCATCCAAATATTCAAAAAAGGGTATAAAAAACTTCTCCAAAATCATAGAAGCACAACCCTACTAAGTTCAGTCATAAAAATGTACAAAAAAGATCATAGAAACAATAATTAAAATATCGAAGATCAACAAAGGTCAACCGTGGATGAATCGGTCAACCGTGGATGCTATCTTCATACTCAGGCAAGTATAAATATGCTTTAGAAACCTCACCAGAGCATTCGACAGAGTGAGATTGACACTTGACAGACTTGGCGACTTGACAGATATCTTAAGCAAACAAGGTACTGAGAAACGCAATAGAGGTCATAAGAGAACTAAACCATAACCGATCTACCCACATATTGGTTGACAAAAATATCACAGAGAAAATACAAACACATACGGGAATGCGACAGGGAAACTCCTTCAGCCGACAACTTTTCCATCTAATAATAGATGAAACAATAAACCTGGTTAAAAACAGAGGAAGGATATACAATAGGTGGAACCAAAATCGTCTGTTATGTCGATGACGTCCTAATTATAGCAGATAATGAGGACGACTTACAACGGCTTCTACACTCGTTCTATGTAACAGCAAAAACCTTCAACATGCAGGCATTGTCCAGAAAAACCAGAGCGCGTGTCATTTCCAAAGAACCAATCAGATGTAAACTTGCCTTGGAAAATAAAGAAGTCATGTGCTTCGAATACCTAGGCATAAAAATTACCTCAAGCCAAAATAGAACAAATGAAATAAGAGAACAAGGCAACAAAGCCAGCCGAATCTCACGTGCACTTCGGGACATTATCTGGAATAACACCAACATGAGCAAAAACACGAAGATTAAAATACATATACAAAACCTGCGTTAGACCCATAGTATCGTGCGCTATAGAAATTAGAGCTGACAACAAAAAACACCATGCGAACAACAAAAAGGAAAGTACTCAGAGTCATCTCAGGGTACACACCAAGAGAAAGTTAATAAACGAAGTGGAAGACATCCTCACATGGGCACGCAATGGTAGAAGGGACTGGAAGAAGAGCCACGTGAACGGGATGACAGAGGGAAAACTGGCAAGAATCGCTAGAGATGGAAGACCATGGACAACACCTCCAAAGAGATGGGTGAACTCATGGACCTGAACATCTTAAGAGAATTAAGTTGGAAAATTCAGGCCTAAGGTCTACAATATAATATAATGTTTTTGTTGAAGAATTTGTGAAAACACCCTAAAATTATCAAAAAAATAAAAACATGTAAAACTCAAAAGCTGTAGGCCATGAAGTAAGTGAGATATTCTAAGTCTTTATTTGATGGAAGACTTGATGCAAACACAAAATGTGTTCGGAATTAATCAGCAGCTAATTGAATTCGAAACGTTTAAAATAAAAAAGACATAAGAAGACACCATGGAAGACAATTACAATACCACTTCAAAACACTAAGTCATCATGTTGGATGAAACGCACATGAAGGAAACGACCTTAAAATTGTCTCCTTTAATTTTGCAAACAAATGTTACGGATTGATGTTATTAAATATAAAGAACTGTGGATAAAAATACAATAGACAGATAAATAAAACATTCCAACACACGCCGAATAAGTACCGTCAGAATAATCATGAAATTAGTTAGTCTGTAAATTTTACTCAGGGAAGTCACTCTATTAAGAATTATATGCTGCAACAAGGGATATCTATAAGTTTTATCGGAAGCAATATGGTGTAACTTAATGTGTTGTTAACGCGACATGCCATTAATACATATTATCACCACATATTAGCAGCTACTTAGAATGGCAACAGTAATTTGCCTTTGTCCATCAAGTTCCTTTCCAAAACTGTTTTTTTACCATTCATTGAAGCTGAAAGTTCGGCTTTAGAGATAGAGTAAAATAAATAAATAAAAATGGTCTCAAATTAACAAATAGCGGTTCTTCTCGCCAAAGCGGTTGGCCACATTAATACATTTCATCAAATGCCGATTCAACTGACAATATTGCATCCTTCTTTATATTTTATTGATTCCATTTACGACAAACAGAAACAGTGCAAACTTTAGGAGGCCCAAAAAAGTTTTCAGGACCTTCAGTAATTTTTTTTTTATCAATAATAAATTGTTATTTTCACTAGTGACGCTGTACATAAAAGCATAGCATGTGTCAGATTTATTAATAATTCAATGAATTTATTGGCAGTTCGACTAGGCCTATACGGCCTGAGCAGTTGATTTTTCCCATCAGAAATAATCAACTGCCATTGTTTTTGCTTATTCACGTTTGCTCGGAAACATGGCTGAAACCCACTAGGAACGAACATACATTTCAATATTAAGTCCCGTAAGTGACCAGGTCCAAGATTGCGTAATCGCATCTTATTTTGGCGTGAGAAAACATCTCTGTCAAATAAACTATTCATGTTTGGCGAGACTTTTATTTGAATGGTATCATGTTTCGAAAGAACAGCTTTCCGTTTCAGTTACAGTTCTTTAACATGCCCGTTTTAATATGTCGTATTGCGGCATCCAAATCTACTTATTTAAGGGAATATTTGCAATCAAACCATTTCATCAAAGGTGAAGTTTTCGATGTTTTTGGGAGATTCAATTCAAAATGATCTGAATGTATATACGAGTATTGTCCAATAAAGCTGAGGTTGGTAGGTCTTAGATAAACGTGCCTGAGAAGCAGTCAATGGTTTAAGTCAAGTCAAGAGTATTGCAGTTTTGTGATTAGGACGCATTTCCACATTTAATTCTAACTGTACAAACGTGTTTTAATTCAGGGTTTTTTACTTTTTTTACATAATTTCGCTTTTTAAACAATTGCGCTATTTATGTTGAATTTACATTGAGACCCCAAGCAAACCTTAGGAATAAAAATTAATTTAATTTTATTCATAAAAAAATCTGAAATTACCGTTTACTTGTTTTATATCATTAAGCTGCCTTTAAATTGCATTTACTTACTATATAATTTTACACTGATCACTTTAAACATCTTGTTTTTTTTATAAATGTTATTGCATCATAATTTGTACCTACTTAATACTTTTGAAAAGACCGACTTTTGATCTGTTTGTGTTTTTGGGTAGAAAATCGCTATTAATAATAGTTTGGAACATCTGTTCTTTAATTCGAAACATGGTTTAAGAAACATATTTTATTCTTAATGTAACAGGCATAGAGTTAAAAAAACGCTATTTTAAAATATCTATAAATATTAATTGGTAGCTGTGGGCACGTTTCAACTGTAGGAGTTAGTTGTAGTAACATGTTTCAGCTAGCAGCAGAAAATCGAGCATTTCAGGGCAGATTTTAATATGAATCAAATGGTGTAACAATCGGTGTATTGAGACGCGTAATTGCTATCGTGGCAGGAGCAGTTGCATAATAAAATTAACTTGTTTCGTGTAATGTTTCAATTAAACAAAGAGCTTTGTTAGTGTACCGTGATAATTGCAGTGCAAACAGGATAGAAAGTGAATTCACTTTTTATGCCTATGAATATCTGCTGTTATTTTTAGTATGGCATTCTAACTGGCAAATAGAGTACTGCGTCCATTTTTTCTCCTTTGCAAGATGACAAGATACTAGACTTCGGTTTATGTGAGAAAACAGGATATTATTATTGTCATAATTGTCTATTGGGACCATTGGGCAAATATTTGGGGCTTCAAAAGACCATTAATCACCTACTGAAGGACAAACCTACAGCTATAAACAATTTACCCTCAAAAAACGTAACCTTCTGAAGATGCATAAAACGGTGAGTTGGCACCGTATAAGAGAATGTAGCTACACTACGCCAATAGGAAATCTACTGAGAAAATATGATATACCTACTTAAAATCAATATGCAAACCCACAAATAAGATTTAAGTCTGGCTAAGGTTTATTAAGGACAAACGACCTTTCAGAGACTCGAAGAGTGGGAACAACAAAGCGAACCGTTAAAACCAAGATTGAAGAACTTTTTGTTTAGAACCGCGGCAGTAGCGGCACATGACCTAGCGAAGTACCACACAGTTGTACAAGGTAGGTTCAATTGGCGACACCACGAATATTACCAACTGTCCATATATTGACTTTTTGGGTATATATTTGAAAACTAACTAGTTTACTTCGAGTTTAAGAGGTACTCACCCATAGATGGCATCTTTATCTCTCTTTCCAACATCGGGTACGGCGCCCCCCATAACATGATTAGCGGCAGGATTTACATGGTTTGCATGGTAAGGGTGCATGGCGTGGTTGAGGTGTGGGGAATGGTGCAGCCCGGGAATGCTGGGCCGATGTGCAACATGAGGTTCGTACATGCCGCCTGCCGCTCCACTATCCATGTAGCCAGAATGAATGCCATCGTCGTACTAAAACCAAAAGAACCATCACGTTAATCACTCAATCGAGACGGACTAACCGTATCCTAAATCAGCATTACATATATGAACATTTAGATGACAATGTATAAATCTCTAGATGGTTCAGATCAGAGTTCAGAATTCAAACCTGCTCATACATTGATGATGTTTGTCTTCTCGACTCTCTCTTTTAACCTACATGGCCTTTTCAGTTTTAACTTTTTCAGTATACAAGCGCATTTTAAATATTTTCCAATATTGAACATACTTCCTGAAGGTTTATATCAATAATAACAACCTCTTTAACATTTTAGTGAACTATGAATGTTGGCCCTAATACGTTTTGCAGTTCCGAGTCGTTTTCTAGTTCGACACTGTTCATTTTGTATGGAAATTTTGCATTTTCTCAAGTGTCGGAATCAATTTTTTTTATAAGGGGATAGAGGATTCGTCTGATAGACCAATCTCGAATCTAACGATACATAGCTTGTCCCGTAAACACGTGATCAAAAGGATACTGAGATATTCTTTGCATCAAAAGAAGACGATCTGACCTAACTGTTATTTTCAAAAAATGTCTGCGTCCTCTGCTATTGACGGTCAAAGTTTTTCAAAACATTTATCTTTTTTGAAATATACGGAGACTGTACGATTTATTTTGGTGAAACTTTTCTTTATTTCTTATTATGTAAGACACATATTTTGATAAAAGTTCCAAGTGGAGTTCATCCACTTTGGACAAGTGGTGAATCCTTGAGTGGTACAAAACCCACCACTACTTTTTATTTGGTGTTTATTAACAATGTCTAGTCTCTTCAGTGGCAAGAAAACAGACATATTTTCAATGCTTCAAGATTTTACAAAGAGCACAAAATTGTTAATAAATGATTAGTGCATCAACAAAAAAAAATTGTGGATTCCACCATTCAACTGAAAAGTTCTGGTAGCTTTTGTGCAACGATGCTCAAGAATTCACCACTTTTTAAATTTTAACTTATTGAATGTAACAAAGAACTTGTGTATTTGCTAGTTTCACAAATTTACAATCTCGATCTGATTAATATGCTTAGGAAATTATACTAGTTTCTGCGCTATATTAGAGCTTTCCAACAATTTAAATCTGCTTAAACTGGCCCTGCCAATGACAATCTGACTTGCAGTTTGGTTTCCTCAAAATACAGACCGATAGATAATAAAATTCATCTACTTTTTCAATGGGCTGTTTTGAACCACCAAAGGTTTATAAATCCTATCCCTAAAAGACTGATGGAGATTAAACGAAACTTCTGAATAGAGATCTTAAGCTCATCCGCTTCAACACATTTTCGTGCTAATGAACAGTTTCCTATGGAAGTCCTTCATATGAGACCGTAACAGAAGGGATTTAAAGTTTAAGTGAGGATGGCTAAGCAATTTCACATTTCACAAACTAAAGAAAATTGATTCAATGATTTTGTGCATCGCGTTGTTAACTCAACCAATTCAAACGAATACAATATTAAATTATACAATCAACACTAAATCTGAAAAACAGGTTTTGAATTAGATTTTTGTTTGTGACATAAACGCTAAATTTGGCGAATTTTCATAAAGGAAACCATGATTGATTGACCGTTGCTGCACCAATTGTTAAAGGTACGTTTTAAGTGAGGTTATGCAGAAATGCTCGAGTTTAGACCTATTTTTATAGCAAAGATCATTCAGTCAATTTAATGGCATTTTTAAAAATCGGTTTAATGCTTAATAATTGTAAAATTGCGCTTAGAATCCGCCTTACACATTTGTTGCAAGTTATTCAAAACAAACATTTTCTGCAGCTGATCATTAAAACTAGGAATTAAAAAACATAACTGAAAAACTATTTGACTATTTAGCGCAAACGTAAAATGCTTAATGGAATGATTATAAGTGCTAGAATGTCGTTAATGACCATAATCATCAGTAAATTTATGCAAATCCGAAACAATAACAGATGGTTGTTAGCAATAATTATGTATGTAGGTGTTAATAGAGGAACCCAAACAATACACACAAACATATTTATTATATATTTAAATTTTTAAAGCATGTATTTAGCAGTTTATGTTTTCCATAGTGATATGCTCAAGGACTAGTAAATACGAATAAGTAAAGTCTATAAAACCGTATAATGTTAAAATTCCTCAATTTGTTGCCTCGAGTATAATTTGCCTAACTGTTGGTGTCCTCTATTTCTCTTACTTTTCAAATGTTTACTACTAAAGTGATTAACACTATTCCATATTGTCTGTCTATGAGGGACCTTTAAAAAAGTAAAATTAAAATTTTCCCAAAGGATGACCATCAAAAGTAACCGGGGGGATTATGTTCATTAATACCCATCACATTTTAATTGTTATTGAACGCTTTGATAAGCCTGATTAAGAACAAGTGGCTAAATTATCAGTTAGATCCATTTTTGTGCCGTTTCTCTAACTAAAATATCACATCGGTAGGTAGATATTACGGCTACTTTTTAATCTGATAATGGTGACGGCATTTTATCTAATCTACACTTATCTATAAGCAAAAGAATTATTTGGAATCATGACCGGATGGTAGGCTGGAGTATGAGATGTCTGAATCTAAAATTAAAAATGAAATTCCGAAAATCATGTTGCATTAAACACGAATCATAAAACATGTTTGCTTTTTCAGATATTTTAATAAGTTACCTAGATATCAATGCGAGAAATACAAGTTTGCAATATACGCACATAAAAAGAATAATTGCGAATGCAAGTTAAAATTGCGTAAAATCCATATAAACATTAATGTATGTCATGGCCGGTTTAAACATGATTTATTGTACGGCAAGATAATACGCATTCATATAATACTGGGTGACATATGATCATTTGAAAAATCGATTAGCATAATTAAGGGATTTTCAAGGGAACCGAAAAATCACTGCCAATAATAAAAGGTGCAGTTCAGAAATTGCTTGGTTTTATCAATGTTTTTGTAGCATTACCAGCAAACATTAAAAATTGTTATTGTCCGAAAGATTCTTGATTTTATTTACAAATACTTTCCAGTTTCAGGTAGAAGCCTTAACGGTTGGGGAATGAAACAATACTTGAGAAAAAATGTTAGGATCAAACTGGTTAAAAATTCTCTGGGAACTGCACTTGATTTATTCTTAATATCTGACTTTGAAATGGCAAATGGCCATTTGCAATCTTGAGGTAGTCAGAAGCAGTCGCTGGAATCTAAGCGGCCGACTATTGGCCTCAATTCGTATCGAATAATTCTAATAGAAACCTACTTATGTGAAGACATGAAACAGAAAGCAAGTAAGGGTGATGATAACGCAAACTTCAACTATCAGCAAACAAAAAAAAATTGTCAAATCAAATTAAACACATCTTGAATATGAAAGGGCATCAAAGAGAAATTACAAGGAAACACTATCAAGCTGGAAATCGCGGATAATGGCAATGGTTTTGAAATAAAAAAGACAAAAGTAGAGAATGTGAATGCACATAGCAATATCCGAAAAGGTATCTGCCATGCGGTCTTCTCGTACATGCAGTGCATTAATGGCAACCCAATTAGTCACATTGTTTTACAGACTAATTAAAAATGCTTGGCAATTAGTAAATCGAATACTCCAAAAGATCATTAGGCAAAAAATTGCGGACATCGGAATAGTAATGTGTTTGTGCTCTGTAAAAGTCATCTTTTGTACTCTGTTACTAAACCAACTCTCTAAAAAATTACAAGACATTTAACAAGGCCTCAGAACAATCTGAAAAATGTCGAATTTTCCAGTTGCTAAATGCGATTACTCCTGGAATAATGGTTTGTTGAAATGGAAAACAATTGTTGTTTTTCTAGGTATATATGTCCGAAAAATACAGTTGCCTTTGACTCATCACGGTGTCCATAAACCATAATTTAAACACGAATTTACAGGTAAATAAAATATTTTAATTACTGTCACAGATCAAATAAGTAACTTTGCAGATATAATTTAGTTAATAGTAACAATAAAGTAAAATGTTTACAGCTACTTTACAGACTTCCCTGCTTTCGTAAATTACTGCCGAAAATCTGCTAATTCTACAATGCAAAAGACTTGAGACTTGAAGAATGTTTGCGTATAATGAGGTGGTATTGAAACTTATCTGATAATATGCCATATCTAACAAACGCGCTACTGGGTTTTTCCTGTTTTCCGCATCCTAATCAGTCCAACAAATAACACACAATTTTTTCATTTCAACCCATATAAGCTGCCAATAGTGCTTTTACTTAATTTGCAAGCCGTCCGTATACTTAGGCTTAGAAAGGCACTAAATTACATTTAGATGTTTAATCACCTTTTTATCTGAATACCAAAATATACGACGTATAGGCACTTGCATTAAGGTAATTAAACAACATTACATTATTATTATTAATTCCAATGTAACAATTACCAGTGCAATTGTAATAATTCTGGTACTAGTTGAACAACAAAGATAATGGAAAGATTTGTCAGAGGTACCAAGTACGGCACATTATATTCAAATAAATCACATTTCGCCGATGTTTTATATAACTGCTTTGAAATTTAATTTGCTTCACTATTTCGCATACGTATTTTTCCGGCAATAATAAACGAGGCGGCAGTTAAATTTTATGTGCACTTGCTCCCCAAGGGAGAATTATTTGCTATTAATATTAAATTCATATTCGGCGGAAGGTAATAATTGATTTAGTCATATTGTACCGGAAAATAATTTGGCATTTTATGGACAATAAAATAAATTATTGGCCCAATGAAAGCAACAAAAATGCAAATTTACTAACATTAAAACGATCGCCTCTTCGATAAAAATTTCAAAGGCAAATATATTCGAAAACTTGAAAAAACAATAGTTTGATAATGAATTTGACTACAATTTGTTTTATTATATAATTTTCCTATTCGCTTAAACAGAAAGCCGCAGACACGAGTGCTGTAATGACAATTTTATGTAAATCGGTTTCTATAAAATAATTTATGCCACCTAAAGTGGTATTTCGCAATAAAGTTAATTTGAACGTATCCTGCAAGAAACACACACTTTAAATTAATCCCGTTTCCACGTAAAAATAATTAAGATTTTAAGATAATCCTTTATACCCAAATAGTTAAAGTTTCAGCGGTAATGTTACTTTTATGCAAATTGGAACGCGATTCAGAACGGGAATGCTTATGCTGCTTCTTTACCTGACTTCACAACTAAATCCTTCAGCAACAAATATTTTGTTTATGGCGTAATAAGAACTATGAATCTTCTCGAAAGTTATTTGTTTTAGTTCCACTTACATCACGCACATAATTTTTTTAATAGCTAAAAATTTGTTAAATTGCATGTAAAAGAACTAAGTCGGTACTAAGAATGTTACTGATTCTGTCGACGGGATGAGATATAAGAATTGAACGGAAAATTGTTGAAAACTGATGAAGAAATATGTTGGCTTCGTTTGAGTGCTATAAATGTTTAGACTTGATTGTGAACGCCATTATTAAAAAATTGCGATTTTTCGTAATGATACAAACATTATGGACAAACGTAAACCCAATAAAGATCAGAAATTACAAAAACGCCGTGTTTGCTTCAAATTGCCTACAAAAAATATTTATTTAGTTGAGCAAATTAGTTCTTTTGTCAAATGGAATAACTAAACTGAATCGACGGTATCAGTAAAACAGTTAGCAACAAAAATAAAAAATGGAATTTGTTAGGTATTTAAATTAAATTTGCCTTCAATCTTAACTGAACTTCATCTAGGATGCGGATAAGTACCTACTACAATTAGTAAACATTTATGAAAACAAATACCTAAACCATAAAAAGTTGCTTAAATCTTCAATTGCCAGAAAACTAGTTTTGTTCAAAAATAAGGTCTATAAAAAAATCGTCCAAGGAACGATCACCAATTGACCAAATTAAAAATAATTAAATGTTCGAACTTTGTAGGAAATGCGAATTTTGTTTAAGACACTTAATATGAAATTGTTTCTAGAGTAAAGCACGTTGACAAGATCAATATTTACGACATTCTGATTAACATTTTAACAGCAGAATGGAGGTTGCTGCTTGTCCGACATGTTAAATGCATTAAACAATTTATAAAAATGCCGCCATTGACAATTGAAATGTAGAAAATAAATTTAAAAAAATGTATTAGTATAAATAAACCAGTGGATGGGAAACAAAATAAATTTCGCAATTCACAATTAAATAATTTGTTTGATGTGTTGTTGGACTTTGAAAAACTGACTCAGTATGGAGTGATCCGACGGCAAAATAACTAACAAAAAAACACTAAGCATAAGAATGAATATTTATAAGAGGCGGTAGGTAGTCTCGTCATTAGATCCGCTAATTCCAGCATGAAATAAACCGAGTCTTAAGCCTGGCATTTTGTATCTCGATTAAACCACAATCACGTACTAAAATATAATCAGCGTTTTCAATGTGGCATTTCAGCAATTAATAGATAGCATGTCACATAAAATATTAGTTGATTTACTCGTATGTTAGGTCTTTATGTAGGTACAGAATAAGTTTACATTGTTATTATTTGAAGTCAAATAACTTTCTTCGAAGTATAACAAACTGCAATTTTCCAAAGCTTTTCTTTAAATCGAAAACTATATTTTATTCTCTTTCACAAAAATGTAAGTAAAAAAGTAAACCGGAAAAGGTCAGGCTTTATCATCGGTTTCAGTAAACTAAAAATCTAGTGGTCAGTCACGAAAGAAGAAGTAAATGGCTTTCGATGAAGCTGTCTTTATGCACAGAACGGCCTTGAAGAAACGTGGGAAATCAGAAAAGCTTACAGCTAAAAGTAAATAGGCATATAACAATTGTTGTAATCCACTGCTGATTAAAGACAAACAAAATCAAGTCAAAAATGAAAAGTAAGGCCTGTAAGGTTAGAGGCGATGATCGAAACATTACTTTTCAAAACATGTGCTCTTAAATAATTTGCTGAAACTATAATGTGACCAGCACTGTTTAGACGACTTCTAAAAGGTTTCAAACCAATACAAAAAAGATCGGCAGGTAGATTTAGCCATTACAGGTGGAAAATAGAAAGTTTTGATGCTGCTTGACCACAAACCTGAGTAACTAAAAGCAAAAACGTGTGTATACTAAATAGATCTTTGATGGAAACGCAATAATTATTTGATTGTTAAACTTAGTTAGCAAAAGTTCAAGACACTGAGCTCAATGAACAATAACAGCAATCTTTCCACCCAGAGAAATTAATCGATCGTTGACTGTCTTTCTAATTAAAATCATGGTGATTATGATTTAAGAGGCTGAATTTGACAAATTATTTTTTAATGTTGCTGTTAACTGCTGTTTGACCGACGAGGATTTTATTGAATTACGCAGAAATAAATGACTTGATCTGATAGGTTTCGCAACGTACAATCTCGGTTGGAAAAAGTGAAAACCAAAGGTTTCAGTCAAAAGTTACCCTTAACAAATAATTCAAAACTACTAAAAAATAAATTTGGGAATAATTACGTTTTTCTGCAGAACATCCATGTTGATTTATGAATCCCTATTTTCGTTTGCCGTTAATTCTACTAGTTACACCTAAAAATGATGTTAAGTAAATGATGGTGGAAACGAAAATGTCCTTGGCGAAGAAGACAACACGTTGACACACACTGATACGATTTCCAATGGTGATGGCAGGTAGAGAGTTATCCATTCTACGTATCACAACACTGAAGCACTATGAAAGCTGCGAACACTTCACGCTGGGCATTATTCCTTGCCGAAACGGAAAAGCATAAAACTAATTGAGGAGAATTGAGATGGACTTGGCGGTTGGCGCGACACCTCTCCGACTCGAGTTCGATATCCGATCCCGGAGAATTCTAATATTTCATATTTAATGTATTTAAATTTATTTCGCTAAATTCAAATGAATAGGTCGATTAATTTTAGTTGCTCAATTTATCAGCTAAACAGATAGGATTTTCACGGCGGCGGTACCTTCCAGGCGCGGTCATGTGCCGACGGTAGAATGTTTTAGTTATTTGGAAGCAATCAACTCATCAAGGGCATTTCTCAGTCCAATTTGGATCCATTTGCAATTAACATTTGCACAACTCATAAACATCCTTCATGTCGCGGAATCGTTATATGGATGGAAGTTTAAGCAGCAATTGCTTCCTGCCTCCAGCTATCGTTTAGTTCAGTTGGTGAGTAAATATAAAACATCTAGTCAAACGCGTAAATGTACAAAACTTCGGTGAAAATTGACATAGAGATTTAAAAGGATTTAAGTTTTATGGATACCATAAAGCAATAAACCCGGTCGAGAAAATACAGTAGTTAGTGTTGTAAATATACCCAATATGACATGTTTTATAGCAGGTCTTTGAAAATGTCGATGGTGATAACGAGAATTTTTCTTCGGAACGTTCATAATTATTTTGAAATTTGGTGAAAATGAAAAACATCGAAGCGGGATGTTTATTGTACATTACGCGATAAGATAAAACACTGCATTTAGTAGCCGGCCTGGAATTATAGCCATAAATGGATAAAAATTAGATTTAGCGTCAATAATTTCATAGTTAAGAAAATTTTATGACCCTGTGTATTCTACTTAATTTACAACATCAAAGGAGAACTGAAACCAAACGATTAACTTAATCTCCCATCAGGGACGTGCATTCTTCGAACAACGGGCGACAAGGCTTACATTTTTTATGAGCTCCTAAAGTCCAGATGTATTTTCCGATTTTTCCGAATGAATCAATTCATCCGAACCTGGCATTATTATTTTGTAGCCTCCGAAATCTTGATAATATTTTATTAAACCGTAATAAAAATAGGGGCTCAGTGGCTGGTTGGGGCCCGGAAAAGTTTTTATTATGATGAAATTTTCTCCTTGTGCAGCATCCGCTCGCGACGGTAATTCAGAGACGACTCGTGAGATACTTGCGTGAAACGTAAAGACGTTACGATGATTTAATAGAGCCCCGTGATGGGATAAATACTCTTTAGTGGGCCCTAAAAACTGGAACTTGTTGAAATCACCGTCGATGTCGTAAAATTTCGTTTCCAGTACTAAACAGCCTCAATATATCCTTTACGATTCTTTTTAGTTTTACAATATGTGTTGTGAAAGAATGTCATTTTTATGTCTCTCCGATCGTAAAACTTTTAAAGATCTGATTTTAAACTGCTGACACTCCAAAAGCGTTTCACAAAATATTAGGAAGTTTTTCAGTCTTGCCCGGTCAGACTTCACGACTTTTCCAGAAACATCCGTGATTCGGCTGAAGTTTTTCGAAGCGGCAGTAAAATTTCACAATTACGATGATGAGAATCCTCTTCGCGTGATGGATTAATTTGCCTGATACAGAACGAATTAAATTAACAATATAAAATCTGCGCTTAGCGACGGCAAGGCGAACGTATCTTACTTTGCCTGGTGTCTTGGGACTAGACCCTCGACTCGGGTTACATTCTTCCCGGCATTCCACGATGATAATCCAAAAACCGCACCATGACTCGGATTTTTTCACTCGAATTTTATGGAGAAATCAGGTAAGGTATCTTCTTGTTCCAAAATGCCTATTCATCGATTTTAAAAGAAATTACGGCTCTTCGTTAAAAGCAATACTAACCCGTAATTGCCGACCAGAACCTATACATTAATTCAATATTATAATAGGTCTGATTGGGTCTATTGACTAATCATATATGTGTAATAGGTATGTTCCTTAGAATATGTTCCTCACTTTTTTCTCCACCCAACGTTATGTCGTCTGAATCTTTGTGTCAGACTTCTATGTTTGCCACATTCATTTCCTTTGTCATATTGGATGCGTTCTATTGATGATTCTATTTCAACTTTTCGTCAATCACTTCTGAACGTCTGTAGGGCAATCATTTTTATGCTGTATGCGTTGGGAAAAGCATTCAATTGCCTCCTTGCAACAGACTCAGCAGGCCAATCCGGAGGGTAGCATCATGCCGGCCATGAAACGGTATTAACATTGTATGTTCGGAAATGTCCTTGCTAGCTCCCTATAGGGCTTTTCACATGTTTATGGGTTTCGAGGTACCCATTGCTAGTCACCAATTTGAGACATTGCGTTTGAGGCAACGAAAACTTTAGCGCCCGTTTACGAAATAACGGCCCGAGCGGAATAAAGAAGTGACGTGGAAGTGAAAACTTTTAAATATTGATGCAGTTTTTCATTCATCAAGTATCGAATTGGTGGTGTGACTGTGGGCAGCCATTGGCTCCCGAAAAATCCGAGCCCCAATATGAAGAAGCAGAAAAAGCAGCCCTGATTGCATCGGACACACTGAAGACCTGGAGGTCTATGTAAAGTAAATTTACTGTCTCAATTGACTTAGCATAAACTTGAGTATGTGAAGTTGGTTGCTTTGGAAATAGACTTGGCATGGTTAAAGTTCATGGCTGTTTGTTATGCGCGTTTGGTAGGCAAGCGTCGGGTGCTGCATAAGAATCGGTCGCAGTATCGAATGTAATAAGAAAACGCGCTTCTAATGTAACCAGGGTCGAAGGCCTTGACGTCTGACAGAGCGCCGCGGTGTTGTGATACGCAAGAGTGCACTAGGTGTAAATGATGGATGTCCTTCTGCGGGTCTCATTCATTAGCCGCTGATTGATGTTGACAGGTCGAAACGTGCATCAATCAGCTGGCAATCTAGATGGACAACGTAAAGCGAACGTCCCCGTATGTGAACGTGTCATCTTCTTCGAAGGCTGACGATTAGCGTACCCGTGGCTGAGCCATGAACTGCACTGCCCGCACTAAAGGGATTATTGAGGTCCGAGTCACTGTCGCGCACTGTTTTCACTCAAAAATTCACAAATTTTTCTTCCGTCTCACTGCACATTCACACTGAAAGTTACCCACGTGCTGCTACTGATGGTTGTTGAAAATGGTTCGCCGGCGGCGTATTCATGGGGTCGGTGTGTAAATTTTCGTTTAGCGCCGTACGTCCGAAGCGCGTGCGGAGTTCTTGCGCGTTCCGCAGTCGTCTGCCAACTGTCAATCACGTCTGTTCAAGGGGGCAGAGTGGGGTTTAGATGAATGATCTGTCAGGCCCTGGCCCCGCCTCTCCGCCAATGGCGGACGTAGTGCGCGCATCGAGCGGGCCCTGTCGTCCAAACTCAGAACTAGTTGCTCCCGCCGAATGCCGACGTTCTCTACTCGGGCCAGCCAAAACAAACTTCGTCGGGCGCGTACCCCAAACTTGGAGCCTTGAAAACATTGCCTTTTTTCTCCTTCTCCTACTTCACATGAAATGAATCCCCTATTGCTCTATTAATATATTTTCGTGAGCATTCGTTATCCACCTGAACACAGACTTTCACAATGCAGAGTGTGCATCAAAATAAAATGATGTCGGTCAACATTTAAGCAATAAGTTGAAACATTAGTTTGACTTCTTAATGTTAATGGGCATAATTTGTTTTGAGGTGGCCGCTATGGAAGAAAAAAGATTTGCGACTGCCACGGAATAGCTTTCGGTCGATTTAGATCAAGCCAGTTAAGGGCTGGTTAATGGCTAATTGAACATTGAATGAAATTTTGCACTCAAAGCTGGACATTCGACATTGAATCCTGAGTGTCAGTAATTACTTGCATTAATTGGTGCAGGTGGGCAAACTAATTAATAATTTCACATGAAATAAGGAATAGACGAGTAGCGAAGATACGTATAGGACAGCTATCCAAAAATCAGCTACGGATAAGAGTGTGGCTTTTAAGTATTAAAACAAAATAATTTTTAATAGGCTTCCTCACTCAAATGTTTTCTATATTGTCACGAAATATTCACGGCAACTCGCCTGTATTATTTTTAAGCTTGAACATTAATATTCATACTACTGTTTCAATTGACAAATATGTTCGTAGTGAATCCAAATAGGTAGGTATAAATGTCCGAAAAATAAAATGTAGTTCTAGCACTACTGCAATAAAATTCTGATGGATTTAGATAATACTCAAGCTTAAAAGTTTCCTCTATAAGTTCAAAGGCAAAGCTCAAAAGAAAAATTATACGTCAAAGAATGTCAAAGATCCACTGTACTCGCAAACTCATAGGTATTCAAAACTGCCATACAAGTAGCAAATAACATAGGCAGCAATGAAAATATATCCGCACTCCAATTATCTACTTGAGTAAAATATTTTATGGCACCTGAAAAATTTAGCACACAAATGAATTACAGTTGAAAATTACTGTTTTTGGGTCTTATACATATGGTCCTATTTGAAAAATAGCCATCTATTAATTGATTTTCGTTTTCAATGCTGCTTTAATTAGACTTTATATTTTAATACTTATTACAATTTTTGTATTACTATACGCTGTAACTACTGCTCATGAATACGAAAGAAAATTAGTATTATTATTGGAATTTTCTGAGATAAAAGTCATTTTAATATTATAAAAAATATTAATATCGAAATTCGAAATTAAATTAAGGGAAATGCTACACAAATCTTCTACAACTACTTGTAAATTTTGCTGCCTACATTAAATAACTTTTTCAATTTTATTCAAATATGAACGCTGAGCATTTATATACAATTGCAAATTTGAAATAAAAATATGTTGGATTGATTTAAATTTGCACATTAAATAGACCCTATTTATTGGCTACAAACTTGGAAAATTATCTTGTAATTTCGCATGCAGCAAGTATTTCCGACGGTCTGTTTGCAACTTGTGGGATATTTGGATGATTATTTCTGAACTGTTTACAAACAATTTAGTTTTAACAGCTATGCCATTGTACAATGACTAACATTTGAACTTGATACACAATGCTAGAACTAATTAATATTGAAAGAACATGTAAAATTTCGCCATAAGTATTGAATTTTTTGGCTAAAATACCTAATTGTCGAAAATATTACATTTCTATCGATGCTAACAGACATACTAGATGCTGAGCTTCCCCACTTTGTTTATATTTAAAGTATAATAAATACTTAGTTATTATATTCAGTACAATGCATTAGGACTGAAGCATGAAACTCGCGACAAAACTTTTAACTTATAGAATTTATTGCCAGGTCACTTTTCGACATCAATTTATTTTCGGAATTACAAAAACGTATACAAACGTATACAGTTTAGTTCATAAACAAGCTTTCTAAATTTGATGTAATTTAACTTTATCTTATCGTATTGAGGAGACGTCAGAACAATGGAACTGTAGGTGAAATGATAACAAATTATATTAAAATGGAGACTGTAAATTGGGGAATATTGTGTAAAAACCAATCTTTTGGAAAATTTCACTTGATTGATAAACTTAATGAATGCAAATGCTCAATGGAATTTTATATATCAATTTCGGGAACTCAAAATGTGATCTAAAAATGGCCGTGCTCTTGTTTGGGTTATCAAAAGAACCACTTCATACTTAAACATTTTAAACATGTAGCAGAACTTCCAATAAATGAGTTCTTTCTAGTTTAACGGTTATCTCATAGTTTAAAATCGATGCGCTAACAGGTTTTTTTACATTTCACCTAACCCAAGCTTAGGCTGAAACGTTTACACTTGTGTTTTCCTCAAATGCTGGATGTTATAGTATAGAAGCCGTACAGTATAGGTAGAAGAAGTATAGTATACATATGTATATAGCGCTCAAAGGAGCAAGCTAACTAGTTTTAGCACCAAGTGCCTACTCCTGAAAAAACTTTCATCAATTTATTATCTAACTTTGAAAAGCACCTACTTTAACAACATGAAAGACCATTATAAAATGTCCTTACATTTGCTTTTAGGATTTATGCATCTCTAATTTAAAAATCCACTGTTTTGGGCAAAGACGAAACTTGCGGTAAAACCTAAATAAAATAAGAAATGAAAGAAAACATTGCAAATAACTGTATAAGTTAAGTATTAACGTTTTCTCAATTTTGACTGCTCAAAAAAGCGATTTATTACAAAAAGAACACCAACCTACAAAGGGCAATGTAGAAGATTGAAACTTGTTAGTTTTTCGGGTTTTTAGGCCGTCGTACAATAGAACACACTCACGCTTGCGAAACGTGGGTAAGAAATTATATTGTACGACCGCCTAAAAACCGCAAAAACCCATTAGTTTCAAGGAATGGCCTTTAAAATCTATCTCTATTTAAAATGTATAAGATTATTGTAAAATTTATCCATATTTCAAAAATAATGCAATTGCGCTAAATACTTAATTGCAACAAAAAACTACTGTTTTTCGACTTTGTACGGTTTCTCTGGTTAGAAAATTAATAACCGGAAGCAATCAATTGCTTTCCGGCTCGAATAATGGTATTATTGAATTTACGTTTAGGACTGCGAATGTAAATTTTTTTTATATTATTATACGCGGTAACTACTGAAAATGGATATGAGAGAAAATTTTCATTGCTTGATGCATTATGACATTTTTCTAAGTAGGTATGTGTGTTGACTATGAAATTTTACTCTTTTATGAATGAATGATGTTGAAAATCAAGCCAAAATAGTCGTTAATCGGTATTGATTTGAATGGTTGTTATTTAGGAAATGTAGTAAGGATCCTAAATTTGCCTTTTAAATAGAGCTAATTGATTTACTTCTTCAGTATTATTTAGTGATTTGACAAAAAGCAGTTTCTTCCGACGGTCTCTTTGTGTCAAGAATAATATTTTACGGGCTCTTTTGGTTACAAATATGGTGCAAACATAACTCCTATAGATACACATACCATACATATACAAAACTATAGATAAGACAGGACATATTTGACTGTGAGCCGCCGTAACCTTTTTCTACATTCACGATTAAATTATATCGGAAATCTAAATCGAAATTTTTGCGTTTAAAACAAAACGTTTAATGCCAAGACTGAAAAATGGAATCAATTCCAAAAAGATTTACTTTTCAGATTAATTTCCGCTCTCGTTTCAACATCTGGTCGTTTTGAAAACCAGCCAAATGCATCTAGTGTAGTTCATACACAAGGCTTTTAAATTCAAAATAAATTTATAATTTTTAAAGCCACTGCGAAGCAACATCTATCAATAGTCATCTTCCAATATAAATTGAAAACAGTTTTACAAAATCAAACAATGTTTCTATTGCCAAAAACCGCACTTAAAACGTGCATCACTTGATTAGTAATTTGACGAAAGTATTTCTTGAAAAACACTTTTCAAATCAACTTCAAAGAGCTCAATCTAATTAGAATTTTGAAACGATTAGTATACTCATATGTTTTATAGCAAAATCCCCAGTCAATTTCAACACTCACTGTTCAATATGATGAATTGAAATATCATTGAAAATATGACTATCTATTACCAACGTCTAACGAGAATCTATTTATTCTATAAGAAAAGGTAACTTAAAAAACTGATTTAATATATGAGTTAATTCTAGACAAGTTTTAACACATTTACTCTTGCATTAACATTAGGACATTGTCATTCATGGTTTTAATATGTTTCCAAACAGGCTTATGAAGCCTGTTTGGAACATGGGCTTTATACTGACCGCAAAAAAAATACCTTAACATTTTATAATAACTTCAGAAGAACGTAAGAAAAGCAATATTGTTTGTATACGGCCGAATGCATTTGAGGAATGGAATACATACAAACAATATTGTTTGTATACGGCCGAATGCATTTGAGGAAATTTGTACTTATTGAAAGTGGATTAATAGGACTGAAACTTCGGTTCACTAGAGCAACTTCTCTACTATTAAAGAAAAAATTGGTTTTGTTTAGAAAGTTTAGAGTTTTGAAAATTTCCATCTTGTAAACTTTTTTCTTTTATAAGAAAAAAAAAACTGTTTACCTTTATAGGGTTAATAATAAACTTGCAATATTCAATACGTAATTTATAGAGCATCCTTTTGCTTACTTGAAAGTCATAATAATGTCTCAAGTATTTGTACAGGAAAAGTTTGGAAGCGTTATTAGGCAGACAACGCGTATTTGGAATAATTTTTTTTTTGGTGTACTTATATAGTTTGTCAGTTATTTACGTTTAACAAAGCACTTAACAACCTTATTTATCGTTACGTTTTTAAGTT